ACCCACCATCCAAAAATATTAATATCTTATTTTTTTTATTATCTCAAAATATTAAATTTTTAAAAAAATTAATTATTAAAATAATATGAATTTCTTATTTTGTCCTTTTTTTTAAATCCATTAATAATACAAAAAGTACAATTATGACAATTGATATGTCTAAAAAAATATACTATCAAAAGGTAATTTTGAAAAATTAATATTTTTAAAATGTAATAATTGTATTATAAAAAGAAATTAAATTCTGAAAATAGACTATTATTTTTAGATGGAAGAAGTTGTCGGCTTTCATTTGATGGGTTGAACACATCTTTTAATAATTGGGCCCTCACGCGAAAGGTATGCTAAAATGGGCAACTTGTTATTGGCTGTTTGTCGATAGTTTTACATTGCAAAAATTTAAAGGCATAGTTACAGGTCAGTCTGATGAATTTAATTTTTAATAATAAATTTATTATTTTTAAAAAGTACAATTAAACTATTTATACTTTTTACATCATCATATTTCAATAACACTAATAAATTAAGAATAAATCAAAATTCACAAATAAAAGACAAAATATCCCAATTATTTATCATTTTAATAAATTTTTCAATATTATTACCAATACTAATGAAATAATCATTTTACAGACACAAAACATATATTTAAAAAGTTTTAAAAAAATTTCATTATCAAAACGAAGGCTAAGTGTGTAAAAAAAATTCACCAAGGCAAGGCAAGCTAAGTGTATAAAAAAAATTCACTCATCATGACTTATGAGTAAATAAATCTGATTTGTAAGACTTATTGATATTATTTCAAATTTTAAAATTTTTCTTAATTTTTTAATAATTAATTTTTTCAACTTTTTAAAATTATTTTTACGTTATACACGGTTAACAATAATCAAACACTATTGTTAATTTAAATTTGGAGGGAGACATTTCTAATTTAAATTTGAGGGATTTATAAAAGTAATTGGCGACTAAAAAAACACGGGTTGAGCTGGCTCAAAAAAAATTTTAAAAAAATTATGTTTTTCCTTTTTTTATTTCTTCTTCTTCTATTTTATATATATAGTATATATAGGATATATATATAGGTATATGGATAATATAAGAATATAATAATATAGAAAATGTTTAAAATATAGTTATAGACGATTTTTCAGTAAAAAAAATATTTAGGAGAAAATTTAAGATATTTTAATTATTTTTAATATTTTAATTTAATACATTTTAGGGACAAATATTAGACAATTTTCAAGGAGTTAATAAAATCAAATAAATTTTTCAAAAAATGAACTCAAATATTTGTTTGATTACTACTATTTTCAAATCACTCTCTCTTCGTCATACAATTAATCAATCATTTTTTTTAAACTCTCTCTCCAAAAATTTTCGAAAAAAAATGTTTTATAGCTTGAATTTGTTTTTCTTGAATGGCCCGAATTGATAGAATGACGGTTGTTTTAAAAGATTTTTTTTCCCCTCGTTTATATCTGAAACACCCGGGGAGAGGGAAAGAGAGAGAGGAAGAGGAGAGAGGGTGAAGGCGATGTGATGGCGGGGTGCAGGCGACGGTGGTGCGGACAGTGATGGCGGGACGGGGCGATGGTGGTGCGACAGTGATGGAGGGGGGGGGTGAACGATTTCCGAACTATGTTTTCAATTTTTTTTCTGCTCTGAAGATGAAGATGATGTGTTTAGATAATGGTGATGTTGATTGAAGATGTTGTTGTTGTTGATGATGAATCAGATTATGGTGGTTTGATTTTTTGTTTGATTGGGTTTGAATTTTTGGGTGGGTGGGTTTGACATTTGTTGTGTATTTTGTGGTTAATTTTGTGGTTGAAGGGAAGTGGGTTTGATTCTAGATCTTATGCTTCTTCTTCTTATTTTCTTCTTCTTCTTCTTTTGTTTCAGCCATCTCTTTTTCTTAAGACATGAGAAGGAAAAAATAAAAATATAAAAAATCCAAAACGCATACGTTTTATGGGATTTCGAAGATTCGCAGCCTTCATGCATTGAGTTACAATTTATAGTGTGGAGTTGTTCTGAGAAAAAAGGTCAACCAACGAGAACAAAATTTTTCCTTTCGTAACTTTTTTATCCTTTCAGAAAACTACTCATTTCCTGCAAAAACACAATACGCAAAACAAACCACACAAATCTCTCTCATTTTCCAAAGGGGGTTATGTTTTGCTAAGAATAAAGTGGAGATGATGTCGTTGGGAAGACTCATTTGGGTCTTTGGCATCTTGTAAGCTACAAAAGACAGAATAAGCTATTTGAAAACATAACAAGACAAAACAGTCACATGACAAACCCGTAATCATTACCTAAGTTCTCCTCACAAAAAAGTCAAAAGGGGAGGGAAGGCCAGAAGAGCGGCCCTTTAAAACCA